TCTCCTGATGATGCAATACTTGCCAACTGGATTTCTTGCTTACTCCCTACAGTCTAATCTTCACATGGCAGTCAGAGTAATCTTTTCAAAATATAAGTTTCTTTGTCTTCACCCCACTTGTCATTACCTGACATTATCACTCATTGTTTGTTGGTTTTATCAACAGTCTCCTCCCACTGGAATGTATGGCTTGTTAGGACAGGGACCTTGTCCTTCTTGCTCACTACTATGGTAACCAATGGGGCCTTCTTGACATGATGTCATACATATAGATTCCACGTGTAGGATTCCACATGTAGGTTCTGAAGGATCTCCCCACCCCCACCTCAGGTCAGGTCCTCAGCCTCTGAAAGCCCTGTCTGCAGGCCATTCTAGAGGTGGTGAGTACAGGGGAGAGAGGACAGGCTGTGGGTCTAGTCCCACCACTTCGTTAAGCCAACCTAAAAACTGGCTGCCACCTATCGGGCCTATCGCTCACCCCCCATCCTTAAATTCCCACCTATAGTTCCCCATTACAACCTCCATCACTTTATTCACTAGCCCAAGGGGTTGTCTCTTGGCATCCAGGTAAAAACTCAGCCACAGGGATCAACTTCTTCAGACTTAGCTCCTTCCCAGAGAGCACTCTCCCTGGTCAGGCAAGAACTGCCCCTCATGTGCTGGTCAAATGCAGGGGGATGAGAGCAGTTTCTGAACCTCACAACAGGGTTCTGAGAGATGACACAACCCCATGAGCTGGTACCACTAGCCCAAGTGGGTAGAGGGCTGAGAGTGAACATCCCTTTGAACGCTACACTGAAATCTACAGGATTTAAGATGCTCTGGCTCCACTGTTTGAGCCCTAAGAATATTTTGATATTGCACTTTTACATAAAACTATGAAACTATTTTTGAGATTTTGCCAAAAGTATTTTCCTTAATGGATTCCATTAAGTTAATTTATTCGTTGATTTTATATATTTCAGTTAACTAATTCCAATTTTTTTCACTTTCCATTTTGTTTAGCCAAGATTATTTTTTCCAAAATCAAGTTTTTTTTCCATGTGAATTTTACATTAAAGATTTGATTCCTCAATCAGATTTTACTGAGTACAGTTTCTGCCACTGTGAATTTCATTTGTACTAATTATTTCTATCAAGTCGTTTTCAACAGTGGAGTCAAAAGGCAAGTTTAAGACATTACCCTTTGGACTCTTTCAGCACAGCATTGCTCTTCTTAAGAGACTTTCAAGGAGTTTAGTGAGATAGTTCTTGCTGGGTTGATGAAGCATGCAGGTGGGAAGGGAGGTCTGAGGGAGCACCTTCTGCAGATCTGGTTTGATGGAATGAGAGACTGAACTTCTATTCATTGACCCATCAGGGAAATCCACACAACTTTCTGGGTGGCAAACAAAGCCACCAACTCTGTCAGGAGAGCAGTGTGCCAGCACAGGCCTTGACC